AGGCCTTCCTCTTTTGCTTTGATCCTCTAACTTTCCAAGGACTACCCTCTCCTAACGACATGTCCAAAATATGTGAGATGAAGTCTCACCATCCTTGCCTCCAAGAAGCACTCTGGCTGCACTTTTTCCAATATGTTATCTGTTTGGGGTTTTTTTTGGCAGTCCATGAGATAGTACTCTTCTCCAACACTAAGTCAAAGGCGTCAACTCTTCTGACATCCCTATTCATTGTCAAGCTCTCAAATGCATAGCAAGTAATTGAAAATACCATGGTCTGAATCAGGCACAGCTTAGTCCTCAAATTAACATCATTGTGCCCCAGTAATTTGGAGAGATCCCTGACAGCGTATTCACCCAATGCAATAAGTCTCCAGATCTCCTGGATGTTGATATCAAGGGTGTTGATTGTGAATCCAAGATAAAATAGTTGATCATTTCAGCCTTTCTCCATCTATCATGATATTGACTATGATGAGGATTTTTTCTTTTGATGTTGAGATGCAACCCATATTGAAGACTGTGGTCTTTGATCTTCTGAAGTTTCAAGTCCTCCTCACTTTCAGTAAGCAAGGTTGTGTCATCTGAATGGTGCAGGTTGTTGATGAGTCTTCCTCCAATCCTGAAGCCATGTTCTTCTTCATACAGAGCAGCTTTTTGAGTGATATGCTTGGTGTAAAAATTAAACAGACATGGGGAAAAGTTACAACCCTGAGGTACATTTTTCCTGATTTTTAAACCATTCAATGTTCTCTTGCTCTTTTCAGACAACAACTCTTGATGTAGGTATAGGTTTTGCATAAGCACAATTAAGTGTTCTATGATTCCCATTCTTCTCAATGTCAGCCATAATATCTTATGACCCACAGAATCAAACGCTTTTGCATAATCAATAAGACACACATAGATATTCTTCTGGTATTCTCTGCTTTCAGCCAAAACCCATTTCACATCAACAATAATATCCCTGGTGCCATAGCCTCTTCTAAATACAGCTTGAACTTCTGGCAGTTCTCTCTCAATGTATTGTTCTAGCCATTTTGGATGATCTTCAGCAATATTTTGCTTGCATGTGATATTAATGATATTGTTCATTAATTTTCACATTTTGATGGATCATCTTTCTTGGGAAGGGGAACAAGACCATACCTTTTGACTAACATTCTTACCTCATTGTTTCCAACTTTTGTAATTCCAGTCACCAATAATTACTCATGCATCTTGATTGCATGTTTAGTCAATTTTGGACTGCACAGTGTGTAGAAATCTACAATTTCCTCTTCTTTAGTCATAGATGCATATATTTTACTAATAGTCATATTAACAGCTTAACAAATTTAATTCTATAAGAGTAGTTGTTGTTATGTGTCATTGTGTTGACTATGATTCATAGTGTGTCAACAAGCTTGATACAAAGTGTATAATAAAAGTATTCTTCATCTAGATAGACACTCTTCTCAGTCAAGGATCTTTGCAAGCCTAATAACCCCCTAGTACTCTAGAATTTTCAAATGAGAACTTGGTATATTCTCTGCAACTGATTCTTCCAGCAAAATTTAAACTTAATTATTATACAACAAGAATATTAAAACTTCACTCTGCTTTTCATGAATTTCTCATCTAGGGTTTTAGTTTCATTCTCTCTATTTTTCCAGTGTCTTGAAGGGGGAAAGCAGCCATGAGCTTGACTCCTCCAATCTTCCAATGGCTTTTAGTGTTAGTCTATGATCAGATTAATCAATTTTCTCAGGGTGAAACTATCTGTGGGAGTCTGTTTACATCTTCGAGGATTTCCATTTCAAGAATCTTAGCCTCCTCAGTTTTAATTGTATCATTTGCTTTCTGATGCTTCAAATAGATAATTTCTGAATTTTAACCAGCATTTATAGTTCTTTTCTGCTGCTACATAATCCTCTTAACCTGAAAACAGAGCACAATATTTTTTCATTTCAGGTGATTTAAATATCTATTTGATAACTTTTGGTTGAGAAAGCTTTAAAGATTGTTGGGAACTCTGGTAGCCTGGAGGTAAGAAGTAGTACCAAAGATACTAGATTGAATCCACCAGCAGGATTTAATCTCTGCAAAAGAATGAGAAATCTCCCTTGTGAATTATAAATTTCACTGGAAGGTCAGCTATGGTTAGGTTCTGACTCAAAGGCACACAACAATAACAACACACAGCATATATAAAGCTACTCAATGTTGCACCTAAAACTAATAGCAAGGGAATTGTAAAATATACAACTATATATAATGGTCTTCAACAAAAACAACAGAACTGGCCTAATTTTCATAAGCTATACGTTTTTGTTATTTGGATCATTTATACTACCAAATATTTACAATTTAATTTTAAAATGTTAATTGTTTTTCTACACCAAGTGTGGTGCTGACTATTCACTGGTAAGACTTCATCTGTGGCTTTATAAGGTGAGTTGTCTTTGTTTTCTTGGAAAATCTCATTTGAGTGATTATACAAATTGGACTTTCCTAGTATAAACAAAGATATTTTTATTTGCATGATACTTAAATACATTGTTGAAAACTTTAATAAGATTTCTTACTTGTCAACAAACAAAGGCTATTTTATTTAAATATTGTTGTTTTCATGTGATGACTCTGCTTCATAGCATCCTATGCACAATAGCTCTGAACCCTGTCCTTATTCTGACCCAGTCTCACTGTCTCCGACACATTACCCCAGTTACTATAACAATCCATCTCCTTCAGAATCTTCCTCTCTTGTGCTGTCCTTCTATCCATACAAGCATGATGTTCTTCTCCAAGGACTAGTCCCTCCTGGTGACATGCCCAGAGTATGTGAGACAGAACTTCAAAATTTTTGCCTCCAAGGAGAAACTTGGTGTCACCCTCTTCAGGGTAGACTCGTTTGTTCTCTTGGTAGTCCATGACATGTTCAGTACACTTCTCCAGCACCATAACTCAAAGGCATTGATTATTCTTCTGTCATCCTTACTCATTGTCCAACTCTCTGGTGCATAGCAAGCAATCAAAAAGACCATGGCCTGAATCAGGTGTATCTTAGTCTCCACACTGACATTGTTGCTTTTTGGCACTTTGGAGAGGTCCCTGACTGCAGGTTTTCCTAATGCAATTTGTCTTTTGATTTCCTGACTGCTGGTGCCAAGAGTGTTGATTGTGGAGCCAACAAGCTGAAATTGTTAACAATCCCAATCTCTCCTTCATCTACCATAAATGGAGAAGCCATCAAAGTTGATCATATTAATGTTTAATTCTCATTTAAGTTTTTCAACTAGATGGAAGTAAAAAGCTTTGTTTTCAAATCTCTTAAAAAGTTAGTGATTCTCCTTTTAAAAAATAATGTCCTTAAGAAAAGAGAATTCAAGGAAAATGACAATTACTTAAAATAGAATTATGTATGATGTTTAAAAAAAGATGCATATTGTTAAGATTATAAGGTAAATTCTTAATTACCCACACTGTGCCAAGAGTTCAAACAAAAAGGTTTTATAACTAGTTATATAAGTTTAGCTGCTGGAAAGTACAGTCTACTTGGCTTTTGAATACATAAAACTAATATAATGAATTTCATTGCTATTCTTATTTATTTAAGGATGTAACTTCAGCATATTTGGGAAAAGTGATTTTACACAAATAGTTGAGAGCTACATTAATGGATAAAAACTCAGACATCAGGAAGAAGCCATTGTTTTGTTGATAAAGACTGTCTGTGTCTGCAAATAACACAAAGTTAAAATATGAGATAATTTAATAATCACTCTTGAACAGTCTAGAACACCGAAGACTCAGAAAAAAGTTCCTTGAATATTATAAAAAATGCAGAAAAGCTGCAGAAAAATCTAAGAGAAATGTAAACATCACCTGAATGTCTGATTATTGAGCAAGGACATCTGTGACACCATGGAGAGTCTTGAATTCTTTGGAAATATTTACTGTTTATTTAAGGTTATAAGATAATTTTTTAAAATGTTATAGCAAGCTGTGGACTAAATTCTATTTCCTAAAAAGAATATAAAATTGTATAATCTTTTCTCTTTGATTGTTATTTAGAAACTTTTTTTTCCCCATGTACTGTCAAATTGGATCTGACTGGTACAGGAGGAGATTGTCCCTCCTTCTCCAGCAGAGCATCTGGTGAATTCGAACCACGCACTTGTGGAATTGTAGTTCAGCTTCTTGTAGAAATAATAATTTTTACAAATTTTGTATTAGTAAGTAGTTAGCACTTACAATGAGCTAAGAAGGTAAAACTAAACTAAAACAAAACAATGTCATTGCGTGGAGTTGGAATGGACTCACAGCTAACCCTCCAGCTGGTTTTCAGAGGCTGTCGGAAAGAGTGCTTCTCTTGCTCCAGTGGAGGATCTGGGGGATTCAAACCATGTGCCTTTGGGTAACTTTACCCAAAATAAATCAAGTAGGTACCAACCAAATAAATATGCTAATATCTGCCATATAATGCTCACAATTTCAGTGTATTAATGTTTAGTAAAGTTCATGTCTTTATAAAATTTGGAAAAAACAAAGATGCTAGGTTACATGCTTATGGGTATTCAAGAGATTTAGCCATGCATTAGTAAACAAGAAAGGTTTAGGTTATGAAAAGTAAACACTCTGTCCCACCAAAGATGTTTATACGGTAAAGACAACCATTACAAACATGAAATCCAAGACTATATAAAAGCTATAAAAATTTTCTTGTAATAGTACATTAAGAAAATTATTATATTTTTGCTTTTATTTTACTTAAGTAATATATAATCATGGTAGATAATCACCAAGTGAAGGTCAAATATGCAGAAAATGCACAATATGACTAAGAATATCAAGTACAATTAGTGTCAATTTAAAAAGCAAGAGATGTAGCACTATCAGGGACATGCATAAACTCAGCATAGTGATAGGAATATGTAGACAATTACATAGAGAACAAGATAATTTTTTAAAAGAAAGGGATTTTAATTGGAATTAGAGATTCACTGGACCAAATACAATACTTAACTGAACACAAAACTATTTCTACAGTTTTCTTTCCCTTCTCTCCCAGTATCCGGAACCAAGAGATTGGGAATTATGGGCTTCAGAAATTTGAACTCACCAGTTCTAGAGTCTCCCGTCATACATACTTCATATTGGTAGCTCTGGGACAAGGTTCCAGTGCCACTAACATCCATCAAATGGCCTGGAAAATGGCTCTCAGGCACGGAGTAGCGACCCACAGAAGTGTCCCTGTTCCTCCTGCACAACCTCAGGGTGACGAACAGGAGCACAGAGAAGAGGAAGAGCGAGGAGACCGAGGCCAGCGCGATGACCAAGTAGACGGTGAGGGAGTCAGCGTGAGGCTCCTCAGGGGCCACAGGCAGAGGCAGGTAGGGCTGAGAGAAGCCATCCACCAGGAGCACGTGCAGCGTGACGGTGACAGACAGGGGCGGCTCCCCATTGTCCTTGACCAGCACCAGGAGCCTGTGCTTGGGCGCCTCGCGCTCACTCAGCACTCTGGCCGTGCGCACCTCGCCATTGTGCGCCCACACGCTGAACAGCCCGGGCTCCGTGGCCTTGAGCAGCTGGTAGGACAGCCAGGCGTTCTGGCCAGAGTCGCTGTCCACCGCCACCACCTTGGTGACCAGGTAGCCCGCCTCGGCCGCCCTGGGCACCAGCTCGGTGCAGGGCGCAGAGCCGTTCTGCATGGGGTACAGCACGAAGGGCGCGTTGTCATTGTCGTCCACGACCACCACGCGCACCAGCGCCTCGCTGCTCAGCGCAGGGGAGCCCGCGTCCGTGGCGCCCACGCGGAACTCGAAGGCTCGCAGGGCCTCGTAGTCCAGCGACCTCACCGCGAACAGGTGGCCATTGTCCGCGTTGATGGACACCAGGGAGGCCAGGGCCAGGTGCGGGTCGTGGGGCGGCAGCAGCGAGTAGGTGACCTGGGCGTTGGCTCCTGAGTCTCTGTCTGTGGCGCTGATGGTGCCCATGTGCAGGGCGGGGCTGTTGTTCTCGCGGATGAACAGGGTGTAGGAGGCTTGGGAGAAGGCGGGCGCGTTGTCATTCACATCGGAGACCAGCACGGTTATCTTGTGCTCGGTTTTCAGCCTGGGGGTGCCCAAGTCGGTAACGGTGATGGTGATGTTGTATTCAGATGTTTTCTCTCTATCTAGCGGACTCTCTGTTAACAAGGTATAGAAATTCTTAAAAGTTGGTTTCAGAATGAACGGCAAGTTATCTGGAATAGAACAAATCATCTTTCCGTTGTCTCCAGAGTCTCTATCTCGAATTCGGAAGATAGAGACTACAGTTTCGGGAGCATTCTCTGGGATGGAGCTGGTGAGTGAGGTTACGGTCAGCTCCGGGGCATTGTCGTTCACGTCCACCACCTCTATGATCACAGTGCCTTTCCCAGAAAGACCTCCTCCATCTGTAGCCTCGATTTCCACATGGTAAGACTTGATTTTCTCAAAATCCAGTTTCTTCGTCAGTCGAATTTCGCCCGTGACTTCATTTATCGAGAAAGTTTGCTTAATTTCATCTGATACTTGGGAAAAATCGTAGGAAACCCTTCCATAATTTCCAGCATCTGCATCCCTAGCCAAGACTTGAACTATCGGGAAGTCCAGTGGGCTATTTTCTAGGACCTGCGCCTCATATGGTGAGTGCACAAACTCAGGAGCATTGTCGTTGACATCCAGGATCAGGATTCTGACCACGACTGTCCCAGACCTTGGTGGAGACCCACCGTCCAGCGCCGTGAGGGTCAAGCTGAACTCAGGCTGCTCCTCTCGATCCAGCTCTTTGTCCTGCACCAACTCTGGGTATTTCTTGCCCTCACTATGATTGCGAGTGAGAACGTGAAAATGAGAATTGGGACTGATGGTGTATTTTTGCAGACCATTGCTGCCCACATCCAAATCCTGAGCCACTTTCAATAGAAATACAGACCCCAGCTGACTGTTTTCTGGTATGTTCAAGAGCATTTCCCTATCCGGGAATACTGGAGAATGGTCATTTATGTCCTGGATCGATAACTCTCCTTGGAAGAATTGCATCGGTGTTTCCAGGAACACATGGAAATGCAGCACACACTGTTCAACCGGCCCACAAAGCTCTTCCCGGTCTAGTTTCTCCCTCAGAAGCAAATCTCCCGTCTGACGGTCCAGCTGCAAAAGCTGCTTGTCGTCGTCAGAGACCACTCGGGCCGCCCGGGCCGCCAGCTCCCCGCTTCCCAGGCCCAGGTCCTCGGCCAGATGCGCTATAAGGGAGCCGCCCACTGTTTCCTCCAGCACAGAGTAACGAAAGGGCTCGCAGCGAGCCTGAGACAAGAACACCATCACAACAAAGGCTGCCACTTGCCTGTTTGCTTGAATCCTCTCTGGTGCCTCCATGTTAGAGTCCGGGTGTTTACAGCCAATCCCTTTCAGCAAACACAAAGGCTTGAGTCGTTCAACTGATTTCTTGCTTGAAAGTTTCCTCACAATGTTGTTTTTAATCTTAAATTTCCTTAATATACTGCTGCCCAAACCCGTTGGTAAAGCAATACGGTTTGCAGTTTGTGAGTTTTCTTCGACTCCCTCTGGAGCACAAAGGAATCTGCGAGCTTTGGGAGGGCTCTGAATTCACAATCTTAGCCTGCAGCGCCACCCCGCGTCTTGATTGAGAAGTTCACATTTCCAAGCCCAAGCTCCAGATTTGATTTCCATCCACATCAATTTAGTTTTGGTATATAGAGGTTTTACAAATTTTATTTCATTAAATTTCATAATATATAAGGTTGTTCTATTCGATTTCACGAGTCGTAATCATTGTGATGACAAAGCACAAGTTATATTCCGACACTTATATCAGTGGAAACTTTAACGAATTACTTCTCTTTATATAATTAACTAAGAAAGAACTAAAGTCTTATAGAACATTAATTCAGGCAACAATAACTATATATTTTTAAAATAATTTGAAAACTTTAAAATGATGCAATAGTTTGTTAAAGTGTTCTGTACTACATACCTTGACTGTGTTTTCAGGCCATTATTTTCTTATGTTGATCAGAAAATAGACATATCAGTGTAATAAAAGGAGATCTTACTTTGTTTGCTCTAAGTACTTTCATACTGTAAACCCATATTTAATTTAGAAATAAGGCAAACAGTGCCAGAACAACAGATTCTTATAACTAGAGAGGAAACAAAAGGAGTTTCACAACAAGGAAATGAAAGCTCAGAGAGCGATAGAATATGATCACCCTATTTGGTCAGGATTACCAGGATAATACCAAGAGAAAAATCAAGTGTTTAAAAGCCATACACTTTTGTTAAAAGTCTTAAGCTTAAACATATTTATCAGATACACAGAATCTATATATAAATATACACACATACCTACCCACAGAATATCCTGTAGACTGTCTAAAGAACAAACAGACATGTCTTGGAAAAAGTGTAGCCAGTGTGTTCCTTGGAGGCAAATATGATAAAGCTTTGCCTCACCTACTTTGGGCATGTTGCTAGGAGGGACTATTCCTTGGAGAGGGCCATGATGCTTGGAAAGATGGAGAGTCAGAGAAAGAGAGGACAAAGGAGAGGAAGACCTTCATCCAGGTGAATTGACATACTGACTCCTGCAATGGGCTCTAGTGTGTCAGTGTGAGGATGAAACAGGATAGGACAGAGTTCAGGTCTTTTATTCATAGGGTCACTAAGGGTCCTACTTAATTCCATCCATGAAGAAAGCAAAAGGTCATTATAAAGACAAGAATAGAAAGAAAAAACCAAAATGGAAAAAATCAGAAGATACTCTAACAATTTAACTAGAGCATTGAGGAACCAAAACAAAGGGGAAACATGTCAAAGTAAAAGAGCCGAACGGAAGATTTCAAAGGATAGCGCTCTAGAAGACGAAGCAAAGTGTTATAATGGAATGTGCAGAGAGCTGGAATTGGAAATTCAAAAAGGAAGAATTCACTCTGTATTTCTCAAGCTGAGAGAATTGAAAAAGAAATTTAAGCCTCAAGTCACAATATTGAAATATGCTATGGGCAATATATTGAAAGATCCAGAAAGCATCAAAAGAAGATGGAGAGAATACACAGAATCACTGTACCAAAAAGAACTGACACTGAAAATTTTCAGGATGTATCATTTGAGGAGCTATGACTCATAGGGAGTCCAACAACAACAGATCAGAACCCTGCCCTATCCTGCACCATCCTCATGATCTCTGATATCCTGAAGCCCATTGTCACTGTGTCAGTCCATCTTGCTAAGGGTCATCCTCTTTTTCTCTGACACACTACCTTTCCCAGCACGATATCTCCCTCCAAGGAATGGCCTCTCCTGACAACAGCCCATGACAATATACCCAAAGGATGTAAGATGAAATGTCATCATCCTTGCCTCAGAGTACTCTAACCACACTTCCTCCAGGACAGACTTCCCCCACCCTTTTGTTAGTCCATGAGATATAAGTATTCTTCAACAACATCACAATTCAAAGTATTGATTCTTCTTCTGTCATCCTTATTTATTTTCCAATTTTCAGATGCATAGGAAGCAATTGAAAACACTATGGCTCGGACCAGGCATTCTATAGTCCTTAAACTGACATTATGTTTCTTCAGCACCTTGGAGAGGTCCTTGACCACCTATTTCCCTAATAAAATATGGGTTTTTATTTTTTGACTGCTGCTACCATTGTTGATTGTGGACCCAAATGAAAGGAAATTGTAGGGAACTTCAATCTTTTTCCATCTAACATGACATTGCATATTAGTCCAACGGTAAGGACTTTTGTTTTCTTGATGTTGAGATGTAATGCATGTTGAAGGCTATAATAGTCTTTGATCTCCTATAGTAAATGCTTCAAGTCTTTTTCACCTTCTGCAAGCAAGATCATGTCGTCTACATAATGCAGGTTGTTGATGAGCCTTCCTCTAATCCTGATGGTACATTCGTCATATTATCCAGCTTCTTCAATGATTTGCTCAGCATAAAGATTCAATAAAGTAATATGTACTAACAATTCTTATGATAAAAACAAAGACTTCATGTTAATGAATTCTCATTTAGTATATTAGTATCTCAGATTTTAACAATGATTGCAAGTGTTAATAAAATTATTTTTAAAAGAAACCTGCATTATACTAATTACTCAATAAACATCAGTGGAAAGCTTGAATAAATTCACACAGATTACTCCATTTCCTAAACAACATGCCTCTGGAAACTATGAACTTTGATAAATGACAATAGTTATAGAAAGTCTTCAGATCTTTTGTTCATAGGGTCGCTATGAGTCATGCTCAACTCGACGGCAACCAACAACTGTCAGATAATATATCCTTGAAATGTAGTAGAGAGTTCTGAGATATGGACTATGATACATTCTAAACATTTTTCAATTAAATGTACTTTTATTTATTCTTGTCAATTAATACAAAGGACAAATGAGTGGCAATCGCCATCATCATCATCGCCATATGGGACTCTGTTGTGAGGTGTATATATGTTTATAATGATTATACCTTCATGAATTGACTCTTACCATTATAAAAGATCTTTCTTTGTCTTTAGTAACAGTGCTTATCTCAAAGTCTATTTTTTCTTATATTTATGTATTCATTTCAACTCTCTTGTTTGCTTGCATGATGTCTTTTTTTATCCTTTGAATTTTAACCTATTTGTCGAATCAGTTTATTTGGATCTTAAGGATGTCTCCTGTAGACAGAATAGAGTTGGGTCATTAAAAAATAATTTTGCCAATATCAGTGTTTTACACTGGCAACCAATTTACACTTGATGAAATTACTAATATAAAATATATGTTTGACATTCGTTTTGTTTTGTTTTGTTTTGTTTTTCATTTTTACTGTATTATTTTTACATGTACCGTCAAATCAGATCTGACTGGTACAGGAGGAGATTGCCCCCTCCTTCTCCAGCAGAGCATCTGGTGGATTTGAACAACGTACCTCTGGGATTGCAGTGCAGTGTCTTGCCACTATGCCAGGCATTTGTTTTTGTATATGTATTATATGTTGTTGTT